CCTTCCACCGCCCAACGACCTCCCCAGTCGAGGTCAGGAGGTCCCCACCTGCACTGTAAACAGTGTTGGTGGAGAGCTGCTTTCCCCTCCTGAGGCACCGGACAGTTTGCCAGAATTTCTTCGAGGCCGACCGATAGTCCTCCTCCATGGCCTTCCCGAACTCCTCCCAGACCCGAGTTTTTGCCTCTGCGACCGCTCGAGCTGCCGCACGCTTGGCCTGCCGGTACCTGTCAGCTGTCTCAGGAGTCCCACAAGCCAAAAATGACAGGTAAGACTCCTTCTTCAGCTTGACGGCATCCTTTACTTCTGGCTGCCACCAACGGGTTCGGGGATTGCCGCCGCGACCTTACAACCACAACTACGAGCGGCCGCAGTAACGATGGAGGAGGAGAACATGGACCACTCAGCCTCCATGTCTCCAGCCTCCCTCAGGACTATCTATCTATCTATCTATCTATATATATAGTTTTATTTCTTCTGTGTTTTATTCTTTATTTTTATTTATCCTCTTAATATTGTTTCGGTGTGGAACAGGTATGCAAAGCATTTCACTGCACGTTATACCATGTATAATAAAGGCCTTGAATCCGTGAAGCCTTGAATCCTTGAATCCAGTCCACCAAGATTTGTTTCAGTTGACTACAGCACTAAATAGAAGAAGTCCTTCAATGATAGAAAGAAAAGTTGAACTACTCACCAGACATGGACTGGGGTACTTCTCAGACAAAATGCACATGATGCCAAACACAATGAACTAGACAAAAGACAAAAAGAAAAACAAAATCATCACAGTTCTATTCTAGCACGCAAATACTAAATAAAAAGTCATATATTTATTTCTGTTGTCTTTCATTGAGTGAAGATACCTCATCCTGTGCTCACACTGACAGAGACATAAACTTTTTAAAAACTGCAGACTCTTAACAGCTGTAATTTCTGCAGTAAAAGTTCTGTTGGATTTTAGTTAATGACACAACAAAAACAGGACATAAAAAAGAAAATCTCTAATCAAGTATCAGCTTGCTTACCAATGCTCCCAACCAAAAAGGACACTTTGTGTATTCTATTATCCCCCAAGAACCAGAGCTGAGATGAATGGCTCCAAGCCCAAGATTGAGCAGCCCAACCATGATCTGCAGAGTCTGGGGAACAGGAAGCACAGTATGAACAACAAATGGTGCAGAACAGTTCTCTCATGGTTTCATAGAAATATCTCATACAAACACAACAACATCTGAAGCTCCAACGCAGATACACATGATTTATCCATCCATCCATTATCTATACACCGCTTAATCCTCACTAGGGTCGCGGGGGGGCTGGAGCCTATCCCAGC